TCTCAGCTCAGGGAGCAGAGCAGCAGTTGCCCTCACTGTGCCAGTTCAGCGCTAGCAGAGTTGCAAGAGCCGAGAACTACTGCAGCTCCATCCTCTAGACACCAGTAACTAGGGACTGAAGGGACCCCAGCTGAACACTGTTGCTCAAGCCCAGGTGCACACCCACAGATTGTTCTGTCATTCATTTTCTTTATCTTATATGACATCCCCTTCATGTTAGTGATGGCTACTGTATTTTGAGTCTAACCACACTTAGGTAAGAAAAACCCGTTATGAACCTGAGCTCTAGGGTGCAACTTTCTGGTGGTGGTTAGCTCCCTGAGTACAAGCACCTTCTTTACAGGAACAGCCTCGTTGCTTGAGCCAGGGCACACACTGTATGACAAAGGTCAAAAGACACTCTGGCTGAGCAAACACAAATCTGATCTCACTCTGCCTCCAAAATCTAGTAGCTAACTGCAAAAAAGCATGAACATTAAATCCTTTCAGATCTTCCAGTTAGAACATCACGGAAGTATTCCCTGGCCTGAACTGCAGGGCTGGCTGCCAGGCTGCACCCAGAAAACGCAAGAATCCTCTCACTAGAAGCTGCTTTATTTCAAGGCTCAGCTTAGCCATCAAGCTCTACTTTTGGCACTTCCTGCTGTCAGCTCCATACCTGAGGCTTTCCCTTCTCCATCACTCTTTTCTCAGGTGAAAAGCAGAATAAAGCAGAATTCACCATGACATTCACATTTTAGCAAGCACTTTTGCTATACAGCCAAACATAGGACTTGTCTGCTGCAGCTCTTGTGCTGCCTCTCAATAAGCATGTTAGCTCTTACCTCTTTCTCCGGTGGGCCTCACTAGCAATGAAGGCATGCGGTACCTTCAGCCACTCAGCTGCATCCATACGTTGCCGGCTCAAAGGCAGGAGCGGCAGTTCTGCTTTTCGGAGTTGATTCAGTTCTCTGGACGAGCACAGCCTTCCTGACAGGAAAGTAACAAACACAAGGTGTGAGCATCTACTGTCACAAGCAAGGATTTCCCTCAATATGAAACGCTTTTGAGAAAGGCTTGCTGATTATTTTAAATACCTGTCTCACACTGCTTGATAATGACTTTCTCAGTAAACTTTCTTCGAATGTCTTTTAACAACGGATCCTGTAAAGTTGGTATTGTAACCTGCGACAGAAACAATTATGTCATGCTACATGAGCACTTTGTCAGACAGCCTCAAAGGCTAAAGTCAAACGTGAACTTCAAGATATCACTGGTTAGCAGGGAAGAAACATCAATCTCATGTTTATAAATGAAAAAATCAGGTGTGGACCTCAATGGCCCGATTCTGAGAAATGCCAAACAACTCAGCTCCTAAATCAGGTTATGAGGCGCTCAGCATTTGGCATTTGTGGCACTGCCGCAAAAATTAGAGAATTAGCGCATGAGATCTGGTTCCTATCACAGTGATTTCACGTTACAAGGAAAGGAACAGACCCATTCATCTTGTTCAGTAACACACTCAAGCCTCATTACTCAGATACTCTCTTGGAAGGCATGCAATGTGGCTATGAACCCCCAATGCCAAAAGCTGCACAGTGTACCATTTCCTCAGCGCTCAGACCAAGCTGTTGGAGAAATGGGCAGCTCTACCTCTGTTCCGGATGAAAGGAATGACTGCCACTGCACCCAGCTTAGAGCACGCTTACTGCATTGAGCCACTAAGGTAAAGGACGCAGCGGATGCAGATGAACCCCAAGTGGCTCATTGCAAGGAAGTATCAGCTCAGTCCACACAGCTGCTGAGGGATTATGGCATCCAAGAGGACTTTAGAGAATTGCAATTCAAGGATTTGTATCTGAGTCCTGCCTATCTCTTCCATTAGATACTCAAGTCTTCGGTGCATCTGAGTGAAAGTTTCTGTAAAGATGATCTGAACTATTTCCTTTTACAAATATAAACCCAGCTTGCTGTGGAACTCACCTACCCTCCTTAGACAGGACGTTTCCCACATGACCACATTGAATTTGAGTTCCGGAAAGCAAACCTGCCCCCACTGCCTACTATGCCTTCAAGTCTGTGCCTAGAATGGACCTAAACCCTATTCCCATTGCCACTCACTTAGAAACACTTATGGGCTTAAATGCAGTAGGAGCTGAGACCTGTATTTGTTCAGCTAATAAAACTAGAACATGCTGCTCTATACCAGCCCAGAGCCGCAAGTCAGTAGCATGATGTTGCCCCCTCTTTAACCATTAATTTCATGCTGGTCAAAGGGTGCATTTAAAACCCACATCATAAGTAACTGTCACACCTTCCAGCAGTCCGTACAAGTCTTCAGGAAGAACGGATCATACTCTGAAGGGTTGTAAGTGTCCAAAGCTGTATAGCCCTGTGGGAGAAGCAGGTAGCAGGTCAGGTCTCAAAAGCTGTCACCAATAAAGCAGTAGCAGAGCAGCCAGCCTAAGTGAAAGAGATTACACAGCCAGGCACGGTATGTGCACAGTGCACTGGAGGCAGCAGAGACTACAGGAGCTCCCTAATTTTCACACACCACACTTCAGAAGGAAGGTGATTAAGTTTAACAGGAAAAGTCATCCATTTTAATTTATCACAGGCATAAATAATGCTTTCACTAAGCATCCAGAAATTAGAGACTGTAATCATAAACAGGGCTGTCCAGATAATGGGAATTCCATCCAAGCAGGAAAAAAAAATTGACACAGAAGGAAATAGATCTTAAAAAAAGTGACTGAGCCCCCACCAGCCATAGTCCCAGGCAGGTCACTACTGCCGAGATGGTAGGCCTGGGTCTCAGTCATGAGCATGCTTTTGTTACTACGTGTAAGAGCAAAGACCTCATCCACCCCTATTGGTTCTTATCACAGCTCCATCTCATCCAGAACTCTGCCTTCAATGAACTTTAGATATTTATTATGCAATTCAAGTTCCCTGTGACCAGAGATAGCTGGGGAAGAGCAGCTACTACCACACCAGCTTTCACCACTCCAGTTGGCGTCAAGACCAAAAAAGTATCAGATCAAACAGGCTGTTGAGAAGCTGAACGTGCCAAGGTAGCCAAGGTCAACACATTGGTCATGCCTGATGATGAGAAGGTAGATTACATCCATTTGTCTCCAAATTATACTGTGATGTTAATAGCCAATAAGACTAGACTCATCTAAATTGCATTAAACAGGAGCTGCAGAGATAAGAAAATAAAGCAGAAAACCAAAAAGAAGAGAGGCCACAAGCAATGCCTACAGAATAATAAGAACAGGGGAAGCATACAGAATAGTTCTACCTAACACTCTCAGACCAGTCTCATTCTTGCAAAATGTTTCCAAATAAGGTTTCTAGCTTTCCTGTGGAAACAATTCTCCAAGGGTCCCAGCCCCGCAACAAAAGGAGCATCCAACCTATGGCCCTTTAGCTTTTCGCTCTACACAGCTCTTTTTGGAGGTCTGTGGACGCGATTTCAAGCTGAGAGCTGGAAATGTCATACTTTAACCTGAACAGTCCAGGATATGCTGCAGAACAAGCCCAAACCAAAGGAAGTGGGATCTGCAGCAGGTTTCAGAGTCACTGCGACAAAGTTACTCCCATGGGCTAGTGACCCCGGCCCCAAGAGCCTGGGCTGTTCCCAAGCACTCAGCAGGTACCTGGCCAGCTCTGCAGGGCTCGAGTTACTCCTGGAGAGCGAACACTGCTGTGGCTGCAGAAGCCTCTGCTCCTGGCTCTCCCCTAGAGAGCGTACAGTAACCCCTCTCACCTTCTCCTGTTTGTTTCCGTCCCTGTAAAGGCTTCAGACCTTAACACCACTTGCAGAGTTTTAGTGCCACCCCTTGGTATAGTATTACAACACATCCCATTACAACACGTGCTGAGGCCTCAGTCAGTTGTGCTAGGTGCTGTTCAACACACCCATGACCCCTTTCCCAGTGTCAGTGTATTATCACTCACGCCCTAGAGGGCAGAAAGCAGAGCAACAGCCTTCTCTCAGAAACTAGTCTGCAGGGTCTCTATAACTCTCCAGCATTTTCAGCACACAATGGCCACAACAACCCGGACAATCAGAAGCTGAGTTGTGGCTAATATGGCAGCAACCCAGCCCAGGGAAACTTCCTCCTCCTCGCAGGATGCAGCTTAGCCCCCATTACCAGCCTGGCACAGTTGAAGAGACTCTCTGCCTTCAGCTGAATGTGAACCTGAAGATATGTAGAGCTGCTGCCAAGCCATGACTGGCCATCTCACCCTACATCTGTAGCCCACGGCCCTGGGATCAGGGGTGGGGAGGAGGCGAGAATGGAAGACAAAACTAGGTAGATTTAAGCTGAAAAAACATACAAGCAGGTCATCAGAGCAACAGAGAGTCAAGGAGGGGAGCAAAAGGATGAAGCCTCAGATGGGGCAGTGAAGAACTAAGACTGGGTGAGAAAAGAGGCAGAGAAGTGACACGAGAGAAAGACTGAGAGGGAGGAACTTGGAAAGGACAGCGAGGAGTAGGACGAGAAGAGGAGAACAGAGGAAAAGGGGAAGAGGCTTTGAAAAGCAAGGGACATTGGAGAACTGGGGGAAATCATCAGAAGCAACAAGAGGAGGAAGAGACTACACTGGGGAGTCTGACAGAAGAGACAAAATAGGAGGAGAGGAGGGGGTGGAGTAAAAGAGAAATTGACAGTAGAGACTGGAGGAAAAAGAATAGGTATGGGAAAGGAGAACAGACTGATGACACACAGGAAGGTCACACAGGAAGGTGACGAGGCTTGTACAAGAGGACAAGGAGAAGCCTAATAGCAGGGAAAAGAGCAAGGGAAAATGAACAAAAAGAAGTGAGAGGAAAAAAAGCACACAGCCAGGATTCACAATATTAACCAATCCACAGAAGTGTCCTAGTTCTGCAAAAGGTATTGTACGCAGATCAATTTGTCTGTTACTCTGAAGGGCTCCAGTCTGCTTTCCAGATACGACACAGGGCAAGGAGAAAAGGTGGGTATCCCTGGGCTGAGCGCAACAAACACACACGTGCCATGCCACCTTTACCAACCCCAGCCAGACGGCAGGAAATCATTCGACAGCAAGAAATCACCCTGATGGAGGCTGACCACTAGTGCTGTGCTTGCTCAGGGAGAAGAGGGACACATTCCAAAACACCAACCACCGCTTCTCAAGGACATCTGACAAAGACCTGACCTAGCACAGGAGCTTGCAAGATGGACTGACGCAGACACAGATAGGAACAGTACACCTAACATATCCTAAATCCCAGAACTTCAGGAGCAGGATTGGTTCAGCCCTTCATCATTACATGAAATTTAAATGCATGGGTCTTTCTCACCAGTCCTTTAAAAAAGGGACTGTTTGCTTTCATTAAAACACAACAGCTCCCACTATATTTTCATTTCTGGATGGGAAGTTCACGTAACTCCATTGTTGCAGTGGTTTCCATTGACAACAAAAGCAGGCACAATATATAAAACACTTCCATTCGTGGTAGACGGTATACTTGTTCTTTTTGCTCTATACATCTAATTCTGAGATGCAGACATTTAAGTCACGGAATGTGGTACTCAACAGTAGTCTGAAGTGTACAGTGAAAATAAAAACAAACAAATGTTTCCTACAGTGACTGAAATTTTTGTGAGTACTGAAACACTTTGAACTACATAATCCATGGCTTGGGTCTATTCACCTGTATGCAAACTTAAAGAAAATGTTGGTGTCTTCCTGTTGACATTCCCACTATTTTTTTTTTCCCCATAAAGTTAGATCAGCGGCATCCAAAGCCGCAAACGTTTTTCATTCACACTCTACCAACATGCTGCATCACCGCTTTAGCTGAACTCCTGCGAGTGCAGTTCAGTCTTTGGTAACATACTCAGCCTTTGGTTTCAGCTAACAGAGCTGAAGGTTTTCCCTCGAAACGGTTCAGCCCACAGAACAAAACCCAGTGTGTCCTTCGCTGCATTCAGAACCCGGTTCATACTGAGTGCACTGAACAGTACGCTTGTTCATACGTGACAGTGAATTTAAACAAACAGCTGTAATGATGTGTGTCACAACTGCAGAGGTCCTTGGGAAGAGTAAATTATAAACAAGGCATATCTGAACTCCAGGCTACTCAATTGAACAGCAAATAACATATAAAACTGATCTAGCGTCTGCAACCCTCCGCGTGCAACCCTTCCCACGACAGAAATTTACTCCTTGTTGATACCTTCTTTTTACAGTAGTTTAAATATAGAGAGAGTTGTTCTTCATTCCTTTTCTGTATTTCTTCACTCGATTTGCTGTCAATTTTGTCCTCAATTTTCCGCAGCAGTGGCTCTGAAACATCCCTAAGCCATTTCTTGTACAGGAGCTCCTTCTTTCTCAGGTTCAAGAAATCATTGTGCCTCAAATACCTGTCCACCTCCTAAGTAAGGAATGGGGGGGCGGGAGGGGCGGGGGGAGAAAAAACAACCTCTTAGCCAATCACATTAAAGAGAGAAGCTATGCAGCACGGCTAACCTCATCTGACCAGTCACTACTGCCAGGGCCCTGCTTCTCAGCCCCTCTTTCTGCTCTTCTGTCACTCCACTTCCCATCACTTGGCTCCGAACTCCCCCTTGCATGGGCTCTGGCATTCACACTCTAAATTCATCAAGCTCTAGTGGAACACTCTCAGAAAACAATTCACTTTTCCCACCAGGTTAGTGAGCTGAAATCAGTTCAGGGTGGGGGTCTGATGAACCCCAGACTGCACAAGAGACGCACTGGCAGTAGGGCCTTCTTTCTCCTTGCAGCACTGGCAATCTGCTAGATCAGATCAGTCCTCCCATCCTTTATCCGTAGGACCACAACCACTATCTAATCTCACCCACAAAACAAAAGACAGGTGCAAATCGGTAATAAAGTTCCAAAAAAATACAGATGAGTCCAAAGCTCTTATTTAGGGTTACCACATCCTCAGGAGCCTGAAGATGATGGCACTGGACAGGCCAGAAAGATGTACTTCTAAATTTAGTTTTCCAGTATTACAGACAACTGACACGTTATGACCAGCCACTGACGGAAAGAAACATTTTGACATGCAGGAAAGCAAAGAGCAAATGAGAAAAGAGACATCACTCCTTACCCTAACAAAATAATTTTCTCTCTCCAAGATGGACTGAGCACAAGCAATGATGTCTCCACTTTCATCAGGTACTGCCTAACAAAATACCATCAGAAAACAGGAAGTAAAAGCAGGAGTTAGAATAGGAGTTAGAATTACCTTTGCATTCAACATAATTACTGCGTTGTGATTAAAGGTATGTTACGCTGTGACCCAGAGGCCACAGGCAGGCAGATTGCACAGGCAGGCAAATCCTTGCTAGACTTACTCTTAGCAGTTAGATGTAGAAGTAGCAACAACATGGTAGCAAGAACTAGACTGTGCATGCCCAGTGGGACGAGACCACACACATCCTTGGCTGCTCCTCACTGTGCCTGCGCCATCGCTTGCTCCTTCCCACTGTTGCTTACATGTGCCAGATGAAGGCAGCACAGAGCATCTCTCCACACTGAATCACATCTTCATTTTCAGCACAGATACAACCACACTACACAAACAGCAATCACAGACATGAAAATCATGATAAGATGTTATGTCAAGGAACTCAGAGAAGCGTAAAAGGAAAAACAGAGTTAAGTGTAAGAGGAAGGATAATGAGAAAAACCCTTCCAAAATAGGAAACTGCCTTGCTTCTCCTTCTGCTCATGAATTTGTCTGCGTTTTAAAACTCAAGGACTTCCATAGCATCAGCCAAGTTCTTCTCTAGCACCATCCGCATCTTACACTTTCTAAAGATCAAAATAGGGAGAAACTGTTCTCCACATCATGAATATCAGGATACTAAAATAAGAACAACAGCCCTTGAAATGCTCTGCTGTTACCAATCTAATTTTTAAACAGGGAATTCTGTGCATCACGCAGCTTAGCTGTAACCCCTGCACTCAGGCCAAGGACCACAAGCAAGAGAGACCAAATTCATCTATCATTTGTTGGTGGAGTCTCTTCAGGCGAGATTAGAGCGCGCGCACACACCCCCCCCCACACACACACATACACATACATATACATTCACACACAATGGAGCTATCTCTTCTCTGATCAGGCAACACCCACTCTGTGGGTTAACCAAAGGGATTCTTTCTTAAGGAATCAATTTGCAGCTTTTATACGAAACAAATTTACGGAGAATTTTAATTCTTCAACAAAAATACTCCACAGTAAAACTTATCTTTAAGAGCCTACTATTAAAAAAAAAAATTACCAGCAGGTAAAATGCAATGCAGTCATAGTTATGGCAGTGAACTAAAACATAAGCTGTTTTAGACAGACGATCTCACTAACGTTACCCTGAACTCGCAATCTGTTTTGCCTTTCCAGCATAAATCGGCAGTTTAGGAACTGACAGCACTTACCTCACTTGCACTGGCTTAGCCTAAGACAGCGGGAATGCAACTGAAATTGAATAAAATCCTACAGCTTAACAACCCAGCTTTACTTGAAACATAGACCTAAAACACAGGCAAGGCTGAAACAATCTGTTATACCTGCTGTCCACCTCCTATGGCTTCCATAGGTGAACTCAAAGTCATCTGTGCTACCATCATCTTGTGCCATTTAAGAATGCAGCTCCAGGCATAGCATTTTTGTTTAAGCCCAACATGCTTCCGAATGACATACATATCTCAGATTTTACAGGTATTTGCAAAAAACCATTTTCATTCCATCCTTGAAGATACATTTTCAGCCTTACCTTTGCATGGAGGAAGCTTTTCTGTGTTAGCCAATCTCTGGTAGCATTCTTCTTCCCAAAACACGTACTGCAGGCAAAAGTATTTGCTGTGCTGCTCTTCGCTGCTGTTGAGGAGAACCTCTGGATAGATTTTAAAAAGAAAAAAAAAAAAAAAGAAAAGAAACCGTTCACATTAAAAGTTAGCCTGCTTTATTAAAAAAACCGGGTTCACATCTAGGTTCTACAACCAAGTTACGAACTGGGGTATATCTGTACGAAGTTTACCTAACATCTCTACACTGTGCTGCCTTGTAAACCTCATTATTTGTGCACAAGTAGTATAGTAGACAGGGCAATAAAGCGTTATTTTAGCAGTTCTCAGAAATACTTTAGGACAGGAAGAGGGGAACATTTCACCCAAACAAAAAAGATGGAAATTCAGATATCACAATTTAAAGTAACAATTTTAATGGTTTGGGCACTCTTCACAAAGGGAAAGGTTCAGTTCCACCCATCCACAGTTCAAGCAGCTCTTGTAGCTCAGACCATTACTTACTGAAAGGGCACCCTACACATGCATGCATGAGATGGGCTACGCCGTCATTTCTGAATTTAGGAGTAATGCTAACTAGGGTTAACATTTTGGGCTTTGCTGGCAGTCTTGCACAGCACTTGGATGCTAGACATCCTCAACCTATATTGCAACAAACTTGCAGGAAGGACATTGCAACATCCACATTTCTGAGCATGCCTAGGAAGGAGGGGGACTGAAGAC